AGAGAGAGAGAGAGAGAGAGAGAGAGAGAGAGAGAGAGAGAGAGAGAGAGATCGTTATGAAGCGCGTATATCCTAAGGAATGTGATTTAGAAGACAGAGTCAAATCGGAGCTCGCTGTCCTCTCTTTTTTCGGAGCAGGACAATGCCTCGTCGTCTCGTCAACTTAATTTTCCTTCGGACGTGCGCGAGCGCGAATTTACTTTCGATCTCTTCGCGAAAAATCTTGCACGGAATCACTATGGAGGAACAACCGGTAGTGTGCTGGTCACTGTCGCATGTAATATGTGTGTGACGCGCGTTCCGCGTTAATGAAGAAGAGTACCGCACGCCGAGTAACGTCGTGATCGTCTCTCTCGCACGCGTGCGACTAGAGCCGCCGCCGCATCTGGCCTTTGGACTGGCTGGCACCAGTCCACCAGATCGGTTTTATACCTTCGTATCTCCCACTCTCGTGGACGTGCGAGCGCGCTCGTGCTCGCTCGCTCGCTCGCTCGCATCGCGGCACGTCGATTCTGCACACGGGCAGTTCCACCACGGTCGAGAGAGGATCGATCTTTTTTTCTTCCTTCCCAGACGCACGTACGTGGTGGCGGTTGGACCCATGTATCGTGCCTTGTCCATACGAGGGGGACATTTCTCTGTGGGTGCTCTAGGTACAAGGACAGACGGGAGGTCGAGAGAAGGCTTCACCATCGTACCCTAAGTCCAGTTGACGTCGTATGAACGTCGGCCGGATCGTGATCAATCCCGTTTACCTGTCTCGCGGATACAGGAAATTGGTAAGCGCGGACGTGAGACCCATAAGCCGCGCATTATCGTCTAATGACACGTAACGAAATCTAGGAAGTACGTAGGGGTTCGCTCTTATCTCACAGATTCCGCACGTAACCACGCCTCGACACGTGAATTTTATTATTGTATGTAGACAGGGAAAGGTGCGTATCCTTCGTCTTATCTTGACTTCCGAGAATGGTTTCAATATGGTAGGTGGATAGGTTGGCATTTGTTATTCTTTGGTAATATATAACAATTGTTTTTTCTAGTATGTATACAAATTGCTTTAAATGATGAATGGTGATAAGAATAACGTGAATTATGATAATATGCGCAGTGATCTCTTGTTTCAATCGAGATTTTATTAATGATATTATAAAATGTAATGAGAAAATTTTAATCGATTTTGATACAATCGCTTTTATAGAAATATAAAATTCTTGATGAAAAATTTCATTTGTGAAAAATAAAATGGCCTCACATTATCGTTAAATTAAACATTAACTCTTACCGGAAGCAAGTTCCACCTTATCGTATGTTCTTTACCTGATTTTTATGATTTTTATAATTCGGGTAATCTGGACCTCATCTTTTGTTGGTCCGTACATCGCTCTTCGCCGCAACTCACGAACCCATAATTTTCCATGTGTATCGCACGACAGCGATACTGATATGAGAAGAAAACAGAATTGTGTATCTTCCTTGTCATCAGGTCGTCGTTCTTAACTTGGGAATAATCACTTGAGTGTTTCTATACTCTAGCGGCAAGAAAATGTGAATTGTAAAATATTGTTTTGTATAGAGATATTATTTTACATATTTTCTTTCTTTTTTATAATTATTCTTCATGAATCTTTAAATATATAATTTCATCGAAGATAGAATAGAAAAACGTTATATTAATTAGTTTTTTTTTTTTTTTTTAAGAAAAATTGTCACAGTCTATTTAACATGCTTATTCCGTTTATGTTTGTTTGGTTTTTACCTTTTTTTAGAAAATTGATTAAAATCATATCCATTTTTTTTGTTTTTAGATACTAATAAATACTATTAAATACTAATAAATATTAATGGATAAAATTAGAAAACGATCAAAGATATAGTTATTAAAAAATAATAATGATTTTAGTTGAAAAATGTAAAAATAGGCGATTTGATTTACATAAAGAAAAATCAGGTAACTACTCCCGCGATTAGTGCAAATTCGCATAAATAGCGATGGCAGAGTAGTAAACCGCTCGTCGATTTAGTTCTCTCTGTTTATGAATGCGGCACACTTGAAGAAACGCATCCGACGTGATGGCATCTCCGCACCATCGTATTACATCTATGTCGTTGGAACAATCCCGCGCTCCATTTTATGCAACGTTGAAGGCATGCCAAGGCGTGTGAATCGCACGTTTTCTTTTGTACGATCAGACTGGATAAAATGAAAAACGCCGACCGTGACTACTGTTGACCGAGTATTACAGAAATTTTGTAATACCTACTCAACGGTCGCGTGGGAGGCTATTGTTCCCTCATATAGCCGCAGTTGCGGTAATCGTGATTTTAATCCTTCCATTATGATAAAATTAACTTTGCAACATTTGCATCGCGATTGAATGATGATTCGTCTCGTAAAATACTAAATTTTTTAGAAAAGATATTAGCCAGTGATGCTCGAAAGCTTAATCGATTGAATATAAAACTATACAGGCAGAAATTACGCGATGCGGGCTGGAATCATGCCTGATAGCGGTTAACTCTACATTACTCGCGTGCAAGTTTTTTAATATAATTAGTCACGTAAGGCGTTTCTGACACTTCAACATTATTATCTCAATTTTCATTGTTCTCTTTAATTATTTACAATTAAATAAAAATTGATACTTTACACGTTCTTTAGATAAAGATAAATACAAAAAAAATTTTTTTTAATTGTAAAACGAATTACATTAAATAGAATAATATGTATAAATAGTATCATATATTTAACAAAAAAAATTCTATTTATGAAAGAGGAATTTTTCTTAGCATTTGCTCTAAGCAAAAAAGATTTTATACGAGGCACATATGCCTATGTTTATAATACGTATTTATCTATTTAAAACTGGATAAATGAATCAAAAGTATAAGTTCTTCTATAGAAAATTCCATTATATTCTCTTCTTGAACCATATATTAGAGAAAAATCCGATACAATTAAAAGAGAATGGGATAAAGAATGGGAAAAGAATTTTTTTGAAGGGTGAATGAGTTTATATGACCGAGGTGTTTCAGACATTTCACTTGGGTAATGAAGGATTCATGATTTTCGACTCATCGCCTAGTTAGATTAACCGCAACGAAACGATGATCTTTTATGCAATGCGAGATTATCAGCGGCAATCGTTTGAATCCAACTTATCAAAGGTAGCATCATCGGCATCCAGTTGATCCGCATAAAAATACCATGATTCGATCGATTCTGGGAAGCTTCCTGACGTATTTCGACCTTGTTCGGACTGACTGACTCAGGCAATCTCCAGTTTGCGAGGACAAGGCGCGCTTTAATGCATATCTCGCAAATTAGGCCTAATCACTGCGTTCAGCTCTCTTTCCGTGCAAATTAAATATTCCACTCAGGAATCGCGCAGGCATATGTAGCGCTCTATTTCAGACAAGGACTAATGTACCACGGCTTCCTTCTTGGACTGCTTCCTTCCTACTCCGACTCCTTTCCCCACGTTCAATTCGTGGTCCACGAGAGAAACCTACGAGGACGTGATCTCACGGAACGATCTCGATCTCGTCGGGAGTCAAGTGCACCGTCCCTTCTCGGTCGACCTCCGGTCGCTCGGTCGCCTCAAGGCGAAAAGTTACGTGGCTTTTATAGCCCGATCTCTCACGAGTTGGCATCACGGACATCTCGCAAAAGTCGCTCTTTAAACAGATCGGCGCGTGCCTCCATCCCATATCGGTAATTTGTTAGATCACGCCCGACCTTTATACGTCGTCAATTAATTTTCGCTCTTTTTTTGCAATAAAGAGAAACTTCGCTACGGACATTCGCGCAAGATTAAGCGTGAAATTAATGTCGATAAGACATTAATTAAGTAAAGTCAGTAAAGTCTTGTATCTTTCGATTTATATACATGTAGGTAATGATTCCTTTAGATACTTCAAACCCACTTTGAATACTTTTAATGAAATTTTGACAATTCTTTTATACTCCAATTTTTTAAGATATACGAAAAGTAAATAATTTCTAATCGTTTTTAGTTCAATATTATAATGTTTTACAAGAGATATTTGTGTGTGAAAAAAAATTAGCTGTAATTGGCGTAAAGGTTCTATGTATATGGAAGAAAGTGCAGCAAAGCAGAGATATTTACATTGTACACTTGCGATTATGCTCGCCATGCAATTAGTCATTTCTACAGTTGCTTGCTACCCATTTTCTTAAGTATATACCAGAGGACAAAGTCTTTGCTTATGAGTCGATTAAAGTTATTAGCCGTATTTCGCAAGCGGACATTAATCGCGTCGCTGACAAGTTCTGAGATGTTGGTTACTCGTAGTCGGAAAAAAACGGGTACATCCTCACGTGCAATTTGTACGGTTTCCATTAATGGCGATTGTGTCTCGATTGAAATTTAAATGTGATTACGAGTTACACGCGCACGGCGCACCTACGCGCGATTTAACGACTTATGCTCGTATCTATCACGATTGATTGCGTGCCAGAGAATTCCTCTTAACCCTTTATCACACAATTTTTTTCTCGGAAAAAAAGCATTTTATAAACTCCTTCGACGCTTTTATTCCTCCCGAGTTGGCAGTGCAATCAACGCCATCGTATTCCGCAATTATGTATACCGTATTTATAGCTCTGACTGAAAACGTTGATCGTCCTTAACACATCGTGATAACTTAAACTATGCAGTTAATTTTCAAAATACATTATTGGTAATCCTATTTCTAGAAATTCTAATCGCATGTTTGACCGATATTTATTTTTTCTTTTTTTTTT